GGCGCGGCCGTTGGCGCCGCCCCTCGCGCCCGGGGTGAGGGGCGGCCTCGCAGCCCGCACTCTCCTTCCCTGCTCGCCTCCGTTTCCCCCCTTCCGAGGCTTGTTTTCCAAAGAAAGAGATTTCGAGGGGTTCCCGGTAATTCTGTGCTGGTGCTGTAGCCTTCGCCTTTCTCCTCCGTCCCTCCTCTACACAGACTGCGTTTGAGGTTCCTCTAAGGAATGCGAACAGGGATTAAAATGAGCCCTAGCAAGTTGGGAGAAAGTTAAAACGCTTTCTTTCTGCCCCCCTTCTCCTCCTGACTTTTCTGTCGTGTTTTTTAAGTTGTTTTTATTTTATTTTTGTTTTCTCTGCTTTCATTATTTTGTCCTGTAGCCAGGCAGCTTGCCCAAGATAAAGACAGAGGTGTTGCACCTTGCAGGTGTTTTAAATCAAGGATAATGCAGCAGCAAGGCGAAAAGGCACATGGAGGTATTTTTTTGCTATTTTTTTTCTTTATCTTTGTTCTTTTTTTCTTCCCCCCCCCGCCTTTCTTCTCCTTTCCCCCACCCCTTTTTTTTTTCTTTTTCTTTTTTTTTTTTTTTTTTCACAGAAGGTGCATTCATGCTTGGTGATCTTATGGCTATAGTAAGGGCAGGAGCGTGAGCAGTTTAATTTTAGCAGTGCCACCGGTGTTGTGATTTATGCCCTCTCACAGGGTGTCTGTGGGGGCTAAGGGTGGCTGGCTTGCTCGGGTTTTCAGTGCTTGTCCTGCCAAGCATCCGTTGGTGCCTCTTTGGAGTCTCTGAGACGTGAGATCGAGGTGCTGCTACCCCCACGCGTGCTAATGCTGGCGATTGGATTTCTTAACCTCGTTATGCTCCTCCGTCATTTGTATTGTACCCAGAAGGCTTTTCTTGGACTAGCAGCACTTCAGACTCCATTAGTAGGAAATCAAATTGATAATTAGTTTTGTTTAGTTTCATTTTCCTACTTAGTTCTGCTTTTTTTTTTAAGTGCTGATATCATATATAGTGATATTAATTCAAATTTCAAGGATTATGCAGATAGTTCTTACTCTATGTATCCCAAGAATTCAGTAGGATGTGTTGTGATTTAGTATTTCAAATTGATGAAATCCTGGAGGGACAAATATTCGAAATACTTATCAAACTAATGTAAGTTAGTTTGTGTTCAACTCTGTTAACAGCAGAGAAATGTGATGGGGGAATAGGTCTGTTTATTTTCATCACTGATTACTTAAGCACGTTTCCTTTATCTGAAACACAATGTTGTTTTTATTTAATTCTAAAGCCTCCTGATGAGCTCTTGTCAGCTATCTCATTAGAAAAGAGAATGGCTAAGTGGATGTCCAAATAATTCTATTTCCAGGAGGCAAGGTACTTAATCTTTCAGTGTCGTTTACAGCAGTGCTATATCAGCTTAACAGGACATGAAATGTCATGTAAATTTATAGAAGCACAAGTGTGCAATCTTTACAGTGCAGTTCCCTTGTTGGTGTGGTGCAGGTCGACCTCTGCGTATGCACCAAAGCCATATTCTAAATGTTTTTGTTCTGTGCGTACAAGATAGGTCTAACAACTAAGATACCTTGTGTCTTGTAACTTGTGCTTCACTATCAATATGTGTTTTTTGTCAGTATAAGTAAGTGCTTTTGTGCTTTGATGTATGAGTATCTGCAGTTTAGAGTTATTATTTGTAATGCAAAATTGAATACAGTGAGTTAACTGTTCCTGGCATAGTAGATTATAATTTTGTCATTTGCTTGAGTACCTTTTTCTAGTCTTCACAGCAGAAAGCGTTTTTGGCCTGTATTTATACAACACTTAGCTAAGCTTTTCAGTTACAGTGCCTACCTGCTGTTGTGCTTTGGGTAATAAGTGTGTAGTGTAGCTGAATATTCCTAACCACCTTCCTGAAACAGAGCAGGCAGAAATTGTGACCTTTCTTACTACAGCACAAGAAAAGCTTTGAAAACAAATGAATAGGCAGGATTTGGATCTGCTAATCCCAACATTTCTTTTTTTCAATATATCTGATAAAACAGCTTAGTAAGGAAGGGAAACAAAACTGACACAGCTTAGAAGTGTGTGTTATAGAAGCCTTTAAGGAAAGGTTTATTTTGAAGATTCAGAAGTTGCAGAGATTCGAGACAGAGTGCTTAAAGGAAAGGTGCTTCTTTAACGAGAAAGGAGCAAAGCTCTCTTCTGGTTCTTTGCCTCTCTCAAACTCATTGTCTGTTCCTTCAACCTCCTCTTCATCCATTGTCTGAAGAAGAAACTAAAACAAAATGTGCACAATAAGAAAAAGTGGTTGCTAGAAATGGATTTGAATGGCTCAGTAAAGACAAGGGGCCTAGGTGCCACCAAAGAAAAGCTTCCCACGCAGCTCTGGAGCTTTCCCAGGCAGTGAAGAACAGTGTTATAACCCTTTCCTGATCTGCTCTTTGTGCTGAGCTCCCAGCCTGCTGCCAGTAGCTGCTAGATGCAAAGTGCCTTCTGTTTTGGGCAGGGCCGGAGGGAGAAGGGAGCTCCCTGCTGCTGAGCTGAGGGAAAGGCAGACTCATCCCATTAAATGGAAAGGGGTTCAGCTATGGTTTTAATAATGGTACCCTGTCCAGTTAGCAGAGAATTTGGGCCTTGGGATTCTTCTGCGCTGTATATTAACTTACTTTGGATTTCTTTTTCTTAGAACAATATCTCCGTGAATGTGAAGACTGAAATTTCTGGGTCACCCATCACTCGCCACATGTTAGAGAGAGAGATGCTTGACGGAAGAGAAGTCAGGAGAGTAACATGGCAAGAGCTACAGGATGCTGAGCACCGAGGTTCCGATGCAAGTGCACAGATCGTCGCAACTGGTAACTTACCCTTGGTTTCCGGTAGCCTTTCCTTTCCAGGAATTCCTTAAATGCATGCATCCCAGGGGACTGGACAATATCCTAAAAGAATTTCCAAAATACATTAGTAGAATGGCTTTAGATTGCTTTTTTTTTTTTTTTTTTATGGTTTTCATAGGAAACAAAAAAAAAAGCAATAGTGCAGTGAAGTGAAGGGACAAGGAGGCAGTTTTTGCATCTCAAGGATATTAACAACTCTATCTAATTTAAAATATATTTTCTCATGATTTCTGATACAGCTATATTGTGGAAGTTAGTGAGTTATTTTGAAAAGCAACTTGTGACTTTGTGGACTTAGCAGCCAACTGGTTGGGGCAAGAGCAGGAGCCTCAAACCTGCCACTGTATCTCAGTTCTAAACCAGATCAGTAGGCTGCGTATTTACTTTGGACAATTCTATAAGCAATAAGTATGTAGCCATGGCTGTTATTGGGAAGCTGTGGTCGAGGTTCATTCTGTCTCTCAAATTAACTTTCTGTGTTTCACTCTGTAAGCTGTGCCATCTAGTGTGGTAACAGGGAATCTCAGGTATAATTTAGAAAAGAGTGTAAGAAATGCCCTATTGACTCAGTCCGTCTACCCAACTCTTGTTGTTCCAACAGCGGCAGTAAGGGACATTGTTTCGAGAGCGTTCAGGAGCATCGCCAGTTTCCACTGTCCGATCCCCCTGTGTTTTTCAGTTACTGCATTAAGGATGTTGGAGAGCACTGCTACGAAACAGCCTTTATGTGACTGCAATGCTTGCTCTGGTTTTATTTTTGCAATGGAGCAAACTGGCAATATGAACAAGTAGAATAAAAATTGCTAGTTAAGCAGCCCTATTAATCCTTTTGTCTGTACTTCTGAGGAACCCGTAATTCCAGGCAATTCAGGAAAAAATCTGCTTGCAGCCATTTGCAGGGAGCTCTTCCTGGGCAAATAGGCAGCATGGAAGAAAGGCCAGTGGACCTCTTAAGCAGCCCTAATGAGAAAGGATAGGATAACAGCTCAGAGGTGACCGGAGGCAGGTAGCAGGTTTGATGAGTGAGAGATGCCTGTATTTGCATTTTGCCAGATATTATGCTGTGGCTTTTTGGTGTCAAAAGGTTAAAAAATAGCTATTGTCACTGGTAAGATGAATAGCAGGAGGCCTTTTTCCTGTCAGCATTGCACATGGTGCTCAGGGAACTCAATGTCCATGATTTCACAGTGCTTATGGTACCTTTGCGATGGGTGGTGCCATGACATCCTTAACGCCATCATCCATTTCTTTGGGTTCCACTAAAGGTTCACCCACTTTTTGTTTTTTCCATGTTTTAGGGTCAAGGTACCAGGCTCCATATCTGATCTTCTCAAATTTGGGCTTACATGGTTCCTAAAAAGTAAAAAATAACAAGTGGTAACTGTTTTATCATGTTGTGTATTGATAGAACAGATGCTAAGTGCTAATGGTGTATAAACATATTTTGGTATGTACACTTTGCAGTGGCAGCATAGTGAAGTGTAAACCTGTTAATCACCATGATTTTTCCAATGTAAAGAATATTACACAAAAGACACTTGTCTATTATTCATCTTCAATTTTCTACCTCACCCTTTTGCTAGTGAACTCTTTCTTCCTTGTAGACTTGGGGTAGACTTGGGGACATTGCTCAGTAGTAAAAGAGGATGCGCAGCAGAGTGGAGGAAGGCAAGTAAGGGACGGAGGTAGAAGGGAAAAGCACAGATGGATTTGTGGAAACATGAGAAGAAGTAAGGTGGTTTGTTTATCTCGTCATCTGTGACGTGCTCTAAAGCAGAGTTAAAACGAGACAGAAAAAGAAATAGCAGCAACTATTATACAGCAGCTCACAGGGCTAGTATCTTCCTCTAGAATCCACTTGTCAGGGTAAATATTTCAAATTCAGACTCAGGACACACTGGAAACTAAGTAACCTTTCTTCCACCATGGGGCATTTGCTCGCATTTTTGTAAAGCAGTGACTTGTCACTTTTTTGCATTATATGCTCCCATAGACAGGCAGCAAAATATTCAAACACCTTGGACATGCCCCATCCTCCTGGAAGAAACAGTAGCCCTGACCATCTTTGTGTACCATCACTTTCTTCCTGCAGTAATACTGCAAGTATCTTGACACTCTACTGTGTGCTGTATTTCCCAGTAGCCGGCAGGTGGCATGTAAGTAGTATTTCTGATAATAAAAACTCTGCTTTCTGCTTCTGCTCAGTGAAGAGATGGCTTGTCTCTCTTATGTTTAGAAAGCCTTTGAATAGCAGTGTTTATTATGCCTTTTGACCCAGTTTTCTGACCAAGAAGCTATTTTCTACAACAGCACACTGGAAAAGGTAGGAAGAGGACAGAAACCAAACTAGGGAGATGAAAACTGGTTGTAGTGTTGTCCTGAGTAACCTTCACAGTGGCCTGTGCCAGATCTAGGTCTGCTTTACGCGCTTTACACTGTTGGTCCTTAAAAAGTGGAATGGAGCCCGTTCTTTCTAATGAGGGATCCTGTCTGTCCATATGGCTTAGAGGGATGGTGGAGGAAAAGCAAACAGCATCAAAGCCTTTTCTTGTGTCAGCGTATCAAAGCCAAAAGGGACCTAAGCAGTCTGGTTTAGGGCTGTTGTCTGCAGGCTATTTGTGATCCATGAACGTATGTATTAAAGAAAGAAAGGAAAATTCCACTTGATAGTAGCTATGTTTCTGCCTATCAGCAGGTAGACTCAAGAGCTGGTTCCCAGCTAGTTTCACTTGGAAATTCTAAAAATTTTTAAGTCTAATCGTAAGATCAAAATTTGGGAAAACAGTAAGGATGATTTCTATCTTGAGGGTTTTTTTCTTTAGAGCCAGTCCCCCTCCCCCAAAAAAAAGGTAGGATTGAAGAGAATCTATAGATTCTCTGCAAAAAGTTTGTGAACATACAATCAACAAGCACTATTTCACTTGTCTGCCCTAATACAACATCAAACTGCTGATAATTTCTACCTTGACCCTGCAGGTAGGATGATCCACAGCCTCAAGAACTATCTATTTCTTCGCTTAACTCTCTTTTCTGCTGGAAAACTGTTGCTGATTTTATAACAATGTCTTTCTGTTCCTCCATAGCTCAGTGTTTCTACTCTATGCTAAAGAAACATGTTGAGCAAAGTATTCCCAGTCTCTGTATATTACTCTTCTACTTCTGAACTTCTTGTTTCTATCCCCAATTATGTCTTATCTATATCAGTTAACTAAGCTGGCTACGTCTTTGCTTGTTGGTCATAGTTATGTGGTCATTCCTTTAACTCTTCCCTTTCTCTTTTGAACTTGTTCACACCTTCCCTGAAGAACAGACACCAAAGCTGGGCACAGACATTACCCCCACAAGTCTTACTCTGAGCAGAGCGTTATCTCATGTTGCTCTCCGGTCTCATAGTAGGATGCTTCCTTTAACAGGAACAACCAGGATGCTGCTGACACTTGCAATCTTGTAAAATTTCCATATCCCTTCCTACTGGTCTCCTGTCTAGCCACTTGTTCCTCATTCTGTATTTATGCAGATGAAAATTTATTCTTGGGAGAAGTAATTTGCATTTTGACCTTGTTTTTGTTTTTCCACACTGTAGCTTTTTTTTTTTTTTTTTTTTTTTTTTTTTTT